GACCAACAGAATGCTAGTTTTTTTTTCCTTTTTAAAGATTAAAAATAATAAAATGAAATATTTGAGAGTTCATCATTTTTTGCTGCTAACAAAATGTTTGCTTTCAATCTATTTATATTACAAACATATGTAATCATTGTTTTTTATCAAGTACTATATATAAATGAAATCAAAAGCTGAGTGACTTAATTAATTTTTCTGAGAATTATAGCACTATTTCAAACATCTACAAAAATAAATAATAATAATAGTAATTACTTGTACTAACTTTTCTTACTCAATGCTTTTATTATACTTAAAATATCAAACAACAGTGTAAGTAAAATTTATTTCATCAGTAACATTTTTTTATCCATTTGCTAATTACATTCTATAATATTCTGCTAATGAATACATTCTTCAAAAAAATAATATAATTGAACTGTAAGTTGATAATATTTATTTAGCTTTTACTTTACTCTCTAAGCTTTTATCACTTTAACTAAAATCATCATGCAACTGTAATCAAATCATTATATAGAATTTATCACCTTAGAATATAATACCACAATTTTGTATTTTTGTACACATGGTAGATGTCAATTTGTAACATTGGATACAATATAGGTTTTCTTTCTTGCAATTGTTTTTATATCGTAATTCAAAATGATTCCAAAGAGTTTTCTGTCTGTTTGCCTCTTGCATTATATATGGAATCTTTTTAACCATTTTTTTAACTAAACAGTTTTCTCCTCTGCTACTCTGATAGTCAAATTATTTCATTTGTATTTTAGGTCAGCATTTCATCTTTGCTGTTAGGATTACACATTTTCAGAATTCTGTTTGAATAGATCTAAGAACATTTTTCTATTTGTTGTCTATTGTTCTATATTTGTTTTTCAAATGTTAAATGAAAAGTAGAAAACTGAAAATATTACACATGTGAAGATAGCCTTTTTTTGCACGCTCTTAAAGTTGACTAGTGTCAGGGATAATGTGCAAATAGCTTTGTTTGTTAACCTTTCTAAAGGACTGTACTTCCTCCTTTTTCATTAGCTGGATATGGTTAATTTTATTATCGGATAAACCTTTTTTAAATGAAGATATTGTTTTAACAGTTCTTTTTTATTTTATTATTTTATAAACCTCATTTCATTCTTTATAATAAACCAGCTTTCTGCTTGATAGAAATTCAATTTGATTGATTCCCTTATTACTATTCTTATTACTTGCCAAAAAGTCTTTGGGATGATCATAGAAAGTAATTTATATTAAGTTTTGAAATTCATCAGTAAAGAAAAGAGTGGCCAGCTTAAAGAATGATTAGACTAAATGTGGATTAATTCTGATAGTAGTGGTTAAATAACAACAATGGTATTACATGTGTTTTTCTCATCAGTTTGTAATTATTTCTTTATGGTTTTATTATAAATTTATATGGGATATTTCTTAGAGGACATAAGAATTGGTTACTGGTAAATTGTGGCAGCATATAAGTAATATATAAAAGCTATTTAAATATTAAACAAGATAATATAAAGCTTATTTTTAAATACAATTTCATATAAGTTAAAACTGTATTTGTGTTTGATATTCTTTGATTCTTGATAAAACCAAATTTAATAACATTACTGTAACAGTTATTAATATATACTGTATTATTTAAACACTTTATAGAAAACACTATAATTTCTAAGAAATTAATTAATGTTTTTCTTTAATATTAAACATTAATTTTTTTATTACTATAAACATAATATTTAGTGGGTACACATGTTTGTATGAAGATCCCCATATTTTTTTTTTTAAAACAGTGTAAATGATATCTACATGCTTAGGTAATTGAAAATCTTAATAAAGAAAATGTGCCTTTCAGCAGTGATCGAACCTACATCCCCTTTATATGAAGGGAACCACTTTCAAGACAGGTGTACTTTAGACTGTTCAGCCACAGATGACTTCATATCAAAACATGGCCCAGTTACCCTTTCTTATATTTTCAGAAAAGATTTTGCTATTAAGATACTTTTACTCATACAAAGTTATAATTTTCCTATCAGGTGAAAACTTAGATAAAACATTGATATTTTTTTTTTTTTTTTTCACAATTTTCTTTTCTTTTTTTTTCTTTTTTGTGTTATTTTAAGTCAATCTGAAATTCAGATCATATATTTCTCATTTACATTTGATCAGGTTTCATTATTCAAACTACCAAATGGATAGATATTTGATCTAATTCTCTTTTCAAATGAAAAATCTTTTGGAAAACATTCATATTGTTAATACACTATAGTTATTTTTTGTAGTATAACCACACACTATAAAAATAAGTAGTTGTATGTTGTAGCAGTTTAAAATAGAATTAGCCTTTGTGACTTTTACCTTTTGATCAATGCAGTGTTATCTCAAATAACATGCCTTTCTTGATTTAAATAGAATATGCACATATATTCATTGTAGCATGAATAAGGCCCATACACAGCTTTAAAAATATTTTACTATTTCATTTTGCATTAAACCTTTTGATCCATTTCTCTAATTTGGGTCCTGGAGATATAAGGAGGTACTGAAAAGTTCCCAGTCTTGGTCTACTTCTCAAAATCTAACCAAACATCAATTTTTTTATTTTTTATTTTAATCTCTTCTTGGTTACTAAGAAATTTACAGCACTCCCTTATGTAAGCTAATTAAAAAAAAAGTGTAGTGCCACGATTTTCATATGCTTTCAAACATTTTACATACTAGAAAGAATATTACTTATTAAAAGTTACTCTTTATTTGTACATATTTCAATAATTGTAAACAATGTTGTTTTGCTGGATAATACAAGTTTCCTTTTTTAAGAGTAACATTGTAAAGTTTATCTGTGTTATATGTAAACTCACAATACTATGTCCTCAATTTTGTAGTCAATCTTAACTAATACTTTTTTATTTTAACAGCAAAGCTATTGAGTGGGACAATCTTGGAAAGTGACTTATGGTGAAAAAGATTCATTGGACAAAAAAGGTTAAGAACCATTGATATATGGAATTTGAGGAAGAAATATAATAAACACCAGTTACAAGTTTATGTAAATAGTAAAGTTACAAGCATGCTTAATGTTAAATTTTTGCATTTGGTGTATTTTAATGCATAACCTAGCAAAACTTTGTTCAGTTTCCTATCACTTTTGTTTTCATTTTTATTTTATATTTTTATTTTATGTATCTGTATGAAGGTGACTACACTGTTTATGCATTTACTGAATACTAATATAACTAACAGTTTTAATCCCAACTTGTAATTAGTTAAAATTATATTGAACTTAAGTGAAATCTCTTTAGAAAAATGTTTTGCATGTAGTGAAGTAGTTTTAATTATTTATTAATAATTCAACTAAATAGAATATTTTAGTATCTGTTTATTATATTATATAAATATGGTGACAAAGATGAGGACAATAGTCCGAATAATGTAAATAGCGTAGAATATTTTAGATATTTTATCTCATCTCATACAGCTGAGATATTTACTAATATAAATATAATAATGTCAAATGAGGAAAAATTAGGATTAGTTTGTTTTGTGCCAAGTGAAGAGAAGACCTGCCTGCCTTGAAAATCAGCCTTGAAAATTTTTAGTTTTTACTTGGGCTCAAACACAAACCACCCTTACCAATAGCCTGTACTTGAGCCCAACTATCTAAACTACCAAGCTATCCCTTTTCAATGCTTTATTTCAAATTGACTTGTAATTTCAAGTCTTAATGTAATAACAATAGTTTTTCTCAAAGTACTGGGCAGCTCAGCTGGTTCTTTCTAAACTCTACATATTTATATCATGATTTCTCTTTACAATAAGTTGGCTTCTTAGAGTTCTTAAGTTTCTTTACATTCGCCCTCTTTGAATACCATTTTTGAAATCTCTGGAGTTTTCCAGTTAATGAAATGCAATCTCTCTTGTACAACACCCACAGTTTATTGAGTAGCTTGAGAATTTCCCCTGTCATTTTGTCTCTCCACTCTTGTCAGGCTAATGAAAAACTCACATACTTTGATACTACAGCCTGCCTAACATGGTTGACAGGAAGCCAGTAATCATACGCTCTCATTCAACTTCCTTCCCTAACATTAGGCTCCATTCATTTACTTATTCATCCTTGTTAGTTCTGTATAGTCTTTGCATTTACAATGTTTAAAAAAAAACTACCCTAGTAGTGAAACATTTTTTGTCCTTTAGTTTACATTTTAGTTTAGTCAAAATTTATTTAGCATACCAATTATTCAAGACAAGCTGTTCTTCAGATTTTTATTTTTTTTTGTATTGGTGCTTTTTATTTATATATTTAAGTATTTTTCAAGTGTTTTATTTGCAAATTAAATATTATTTACTATTTCAGTAGGATTATTTATTTGGTCCACTAATTAAAATAGGAAAAAAGCTCCTGGTCAGTTTAGACATTTTAAAAGAAGTCTGTTATATAAAACATTGCAATGGCTTAAACTCTTATTCCAATATCTTATAGAATCAGATATATAAGTTTTAGTGTCTTATTCTGAAATGTCTCTTTAACTACAATATTCTGGTTTAAAATAATATATGGGGTTTCATAGACTGCAATTGAGCTAACACTTTTTTTAATCATTTAATTTCCTTTGAATAAATATCTATTTAGTATTGTTTTTTTTTTCTTTTATAATTTTATCACTTATAATTAAACTTTTATTTTAGAAACTGATTTAAAATGTATTCAAAGTCTATCCTTTACCAGTTTATTTTTATTGCTTTATAAAAAAAATGAATATTTATGCAACTAAATTGCAGTACGTCATTATTATTTATGCAAATAAATTGCACAAAATTCATTATAGCATAAGCAGATGACAGTATATAAATGTAAGCTTATGCTTTTCTACAAATTTTAACTGATTAATTGTCCTCGTTGATTTTATTTATTTTTTTGTTAATTCATATCATCTTTTCAGTTTTTGCTCAGTCATCCTCTTGGTCTAATATTGTGAAATTATCACTTGAAAAAGATGTCCTCCCCAACTGAATCAGGGATTAATCCTGACCCCCACATGTCGGGAAACAGTGACTACTGGAAGGAGTTCTGCGATATCAAACAGAGTAAGTCAGGAGTTGTTACTGAGGACAGCGAAGATGACCTCTCCAAAACACCAGATGGTGAGTTTATTTTATTATCCTGTTGGACATTGAAATTTGAAATTTTTTTTCATCATTTTACAGGACATAGTAAAATCAAGCTTAAATGAAAAAATATAATACAGATGTTGTCATTCTTTTAAGTTTAATGATTTATAAGAATTTAGAGGATTTTTAAATCCAACATTATTTCTTTTCACAACAAATATATAATATATGTTTGAGTTGATACCCATTGTTATGAATAATCAAGAGTGGTCTCCCCTTGTTTTGCTACTCTCCTCTTTGAGAGAGCTATTTCTGTTTACTGGGACTATAAAAGGACACTATACACAAACCTTGTATTCTTAGTTGAATAAAGCTTTCTTAAAGCCTACACCTACATACTTTTGTCATTACACCCATGTTATTTTAGACAGTGAAATGAATGTCAAGCAACCTAGAAATTGTTCTACTAAAGAAAAATGTGCTTCTGAAGTAAGATCTTTCAAACCATTTTCCATGTAAAATGGACAAAATATAGAAAATAAATTTTTAAAATCTTTCCCAATGCATTTTCTTAATCTTTAACCAAATTTGAGTGATAACAAAGAATATTACATGTAAGTGAGAGCAAATAATTTCATAAGAATGTTAGCTGATTGGAATTTGTTATTATTATTTTAATACTAAATGAACTCATAGATTCTTTTCAAATATTAAGGATAATATATTCTCAGGTAAATTATCATATAATCTTTTAAAATTAAATGTATATTTTAAGTCATATGATTTAAATATATTAAGAAAATTTATATTCTAAGTAACTGAATATATAAAAAATATCTTTCTCTTGATTTGAAACATTTTTTTAAACTTTCTTACAGATAGCTGGAAATTTAAAAGACAGTTTCAACAACATCTATAATTCTCTGAAAGTGATACAAGTTAGGTTTATTGAAAGGTTACTGCAGTGTAGTGTTACTGACTTATAGGAAGTAGTATGCACTCAACTACTCATGGGTAATAGTTATAGCTATTTATAGTCTTTGTGACATATGTAAATGATCACCCCATCTCCCTGTAAAAAAGAGGTTTTATCCCCTTATTTTCCCTGGTACTTCTGGGAGCTTTTGTTACCTCATTATCTTCCTCCCTCTCTCTAAGTGATTGTCTAAATATGGGAAATCATGATTTTTTTTCTCTTTTCATACAATTGTTACTCCAATGTACATTTTCATAGTCTATATTTCTCTCGATTTTACTGTCATGTTTGTCTTGTCTTGACATGACACTTTCGCCTTCATTACTTTCAAGCTCACTGTACATTTCTTCATCATGTAGAAATCTAACTTGGTCTGCATGTGCTAATATCCCATTTCTATGTTTTTCTATTATAGTGTTCTGTCCATTTTTCATTATGAATCTTGCCTCTTGTAGATTAGATTGACTATTCTTTTTATACCACAGTTTTTGGCATTAAACATTGTCAATGAGGCTCTTGGTGGCATTAAACATTGTCAATGAGGCTCTTATTTGTCTACCTATGTGGTATTGTTCTATAGCTTAGCAAAAATCTAGGAAGAAATGTTTCTCTTTTCTTTCCATTGTAGACATATCTTCAATCTGTTTTTTACAGTTTGCACCATCCTTTCTGCTAATCTGTTTGATTGTGGATGGTATGGTGGGGTTTTATATGATTTGCATCTAATTTTGACATAGTTCCTCATCACAGAACTCTCGGACATTGTCAGATACTAGTGTTTTTGGAATTCCATTTTTTGAAAATATGATCCTTAACACTTGTTTCATGGTCAAACTTCTTTTGTTAAAAACCTGTATTCTGACCAGTATTAGTAATAATCCCACACCATTAGTAATAATCCCACACCATTAGTAATAATCCCACAACATTAACATTGACATGATCCATGTGTACTCTGTCCCAAGGTTGGGATTCTTTAGGCCATATATGTGTTTTTGTATATCTGAATTTTCTTCTTTCAATGCATGTCTTACACTTTTTTTACATATTCTTCTACATCTGTAGAGATGCCTGGCTGCCATGCCTTTAGCCTTAATCTCCTTTGCATAGAAGTTAATCTGCAATGAAGATCATCATATATGCTTTTTATAATTTTGCTCCTTTGTGTTGCAGGTGAAACCACAAAATCTCCATTACAAATTACACCCTTTTCTATGGTTAACTTGTGTCTAACCTCTTTAAAGTGCGTTTCTGTCTGTGGGCAATTATTTCACTTATTATATTTTATGCTGAACAATATATTGTTCAATATGGGATCTTGCTTTATATCCTCAGGTTATTTGTCTACCAATAAAATATCAGTTTTAACCCAATGTAAGAAAGTATCTTCAAATTTTTCCTTCTCTTTCTCACTTACATAAGTAATGAACCTCAATCTCAACAAAGCGTCTGCATTTGGAATGTTATTGCCTTTCACGTACTCAATATCAAAGTGAAATGCCATTAACATTAAGGCAAATCTTAGATTCCTAGAAGATGTCATTTTACTAAGTTCATTCCTAGGATTAAATATGAATTCTAAAGTTCTGTGGTCGGACCTTTCCAGTCAAAATCTGATGAGCTCTATTTGTCATTCATATTATGGCCAATGCTTCTTTCTTAATATTTGATTAGTTCACTTTGGCTTTTGACAATTTTCTCAAAATATACATAATAGGATGACCATTCTGAGCTAATATTCCAGAAACTGAGTGTTCACTTGCATCAGTTGTTACTATTTCTTTTCTAGAGTTGAATATTTTTACTACTGGCTTCTTTGTCAGAACAGCTTTTAAATTTTCAAATGCCACTTGTTCTTTTGTCCAAATAAATTCCACATTCTTTTTTCTTAAAGCAGCAAAAGGTTTTGTCATTTCAGAATATCACCCTACATATCATTTGTAGAAATTTACAAGTCCTAAGAGTTACTGTTTATGCAATTCACTTTTACAAGCTAATGATTCATATAGTTAACATAGTACAAGTACTTTTTACTCTGAATTTAAAATTGGTTGGATGTGGGACTAACAAATTCACCTCATAAAAATCCTTACTACTGAAAACACAGCAACAGTGCATTGCCTGGTGAGGTTGTGGCCCTATATTCTACTTGGGAGTCTACATGCATACAAGTACTTTTTTAGTAAATCTAATTCAAGAGATATATATTTAAGAAAATTTTAACTTGAATTTTAAAAAAATTTACTTTGATATTTATAATTTAAATAGATATATTTAAAATTTAATGTTAAAATAAATATATAATAATTTTATAAAATATCTTCATAACTCTTTTTAATTTGAAGGTATATAGTAAATCAAGAATTAAAGTTTTTAAAAATTATTTTTTGTCTGAACTACATGTATTCATTTTGTTTACTTAGGTATATCAATAAATCCATAATTTATTCTATATTTTAAGAGTCTGATTTCTGTTTGTGAGAGTCTTTGTTACAGCAAAACAACACATTGTAGTGGGATTTTTGTTAGGGCAATACTACTATAATTCAAAGAATAAAGTCATTTCCATTTCAGTTTGCAACTTAATAGTATGGTGGGTGTTAGTGTTTATGCCTACTCCAGTAATAATGATTCCATTTTTATATGTTTATGCAGTTGTTACAAAATCTGAAAGAAAATTGAATTGCTTCGTAAAATAATGATATTGACATTTCATAAAAATAAATATTTTTAAATATTTTTTATATAGAAATAAAATATTTTTACTAAATATATTATGTTATGTAAAAGTTATTTTTTCTCTTTTTTATGAACATTTTGATTATTTTTATAAATTGTATGTTCAAAACCCATTTAGCACTAGGCTCCTCCTAATCAGTTTAGTGTAAGTTGAACTAACATTAAATTTGAAATGTAACTGGTATTTGACTAATTAGGATTGTCTCTTATTTATTTATTTATTTATTTATTTATTTGTAGATAACTATAATACAGGGGATACTCTACTTATGACAGATTTCCATTTCTATGATGCGTCATAATGCAATTTTCTGTGTAAGTCAGAACGTACCTGCAATTTTTCATGAATAAACCCTTACATCACTCATCTATGCTAATGCGATAGTAAAGTAATAATCTAGGACATAACAATGCATTTCTGGGCTAAAAATAACACATGGAGGACATAAATATAATATATATAATTAAATGAAATGAAAATATATAATGAAATGAAATTGTTTAAGCTGCTTGTATATTTATTGCCAGTGATGTCATTGGCTCTTGGTAGACGAGATGACAAAGTGTAAGATCTTAACTCCTTTGCATTACTTGGAATCAGCAGCAAATCTGGGGAAGAAAGAAAAACAAACGTGGCTTTCCTTTTCTTTAAAGCACCACCATCAGAAGAGCTTACATTATGCTTGGGAGCCATAATGAAGAGCAATAAGTTTCCACAAACACAACACAAACAAAAGAGAACAAATTTGCAACAATGAAATATAGCATGCAATCAGCAATTGATTCACTCATCTTATGACATATTCTTCCACTGTACCATATGTACAAGGCAAATGGCATAGATTGCATCATAATCATAAATTGTCGTAGGTCAGGACTTTTCAACTATTTTTGTAGCTGAACATGAACACAAAATAAATATAGTAAAAAAAAATATTCAAATCTTTTAAAGTTTTAAAAGTTATAATTAATCAAAATACATTCAATAGATTTTGAGTAAATTTGTGCAATTATCAATATTTACTTGACATTTTTGAATATTCTATGAATTATTTATTCATTTGTTTTTTGTCTTATCAACCCTTTGCAGGCTATTTAAAGCCTGAAAACATTTTTAGATTAGAACCATTTTTTTTTTTTTTTTTTTTTTTTGGAGATAATGATTTTTAGTGATGCAAGTTCTACTAATTAACCCATAGCTGAGGAGAGAAGAGGTGGATTCATATCTTTCCCAAGAGTATTTGCATATAAGTGAATATAATGAACCCAACTGGCATTGGAACTCAACTCTCCAATTTCCAATTCTGAGCAATTATCCATTACACCACCAGCACATCCCAGCTTACAAAACCTGATATTTCCAAGCAGCCACCCAGGCTCAACGTTGCTTAACTTTGATGATAGTACAAGAACCGGTATTTCAGCATGATAAGGCTGTAAGCCAGAATATTCTATTAGATGATATGTAAAAGAAATTGATACTAGTGTCTTAAGTACAAATTATAATAGCTTCAAATGGGGTCATGTAAAATATATATAAAATATATGTATACATAATTGAGTTTAGCATAAAATTAATGCCATTTTATAGAGAGTTACTTTCCAATTTATAACATGGATTAAAATTTCATGCTAAATTTTGATAAGCAATTATCTGATCTCGTTATTTGATGAAAGATTTGAAATGAAGTACTCAATATGACCTCAAGCAAAAAACAAGATAGTGAGTCATGGGAACATAACTTTAGAAATTGAAAAAAAGTTGAATAGGAATCATAAGGCAATTAAAAAAGAAACTGAAATCATTGGCTAAATAAGAAAAAAATAGCTTTAAGAATGTTACACAAAGAGTTCTGGGAAAAATGAAAAGAGTAATAAGCAAGAAAAGTAAATTGATCAGTTAGAAAATTTTTAAAGCTAGTGTTTCAAATGTAAACAGATAGAAATAGTGCTGAAAATAAAGAATGTTGACTAAAGACATGAAAACAACCAAATTACCACCTCTAAGTAAAATATCACAAAGAGAAACTTAAGTTGGGTAAACAATTACATTAAGACTGATTTTTCAACAGTAATTTTTAGCGATAGATTTAGAGCTACATTGGTTGGACCTGATACCTGGTCTAGAGGTTAAGTCTTTCACAAAAATAGAAGCTGAAATAATGTTTTAGGCTACTATTATGGGCAGTAAAATAATAGGTCCTTCAAAGATGATGATGATGATAGCAAGATAAATGCTGAGAATTATTCTAAGTTTTTGGATAAGATGTTTTTTGATTGGCACAGGTCATTGACCAAGAAGCTTTAAGCTATTCATGTAAGTCAGTGCTCCTTCACATCCAAAAAGCTGACTATTGCCCACCTTGACAAAAATAGTTTCAAAAATACCAAATTAATGGAATTATCCCCCCAATCTCTCTAATATTAATCTAATAGAAAAGAAAAAGTTTTGGTTATTAAAAGAAATTTGGAAAGCAGTTAAAAAACAGAAAAGTCAAATGATGGAAAGACTAATGAAATTTATCAAATTTCAAGGAACCATTGTTAACATGTGAAATAAAGTAATTTATTCAAGTATATGGGTTACTGTATTAATCAGATATGTTTTTGTGGCCTATATCTTCTGGATTTATTTATAAATAAAAATTTCTGTTGTACTTACTTTGTTTGTATAATAAAACCAGACACTCACAAAACAAGATATTATCAAAATTTTTATTTGTTGTTGTTTGTTTAATGGCATATCAACTCCTTTTGGGTCATTTAATGACAAAATTTAATTTTTTAGGAATTATGAAGTAATAAAAATATATGTTATTCTGCTTTCACAACTGAATACTTGGTAAATGATACCCAACTTTTGTGCACATATATTTGTGTGGACAGTGATATGTGTGTTTTATATTATACTTTTGTTGGAAGGCAGTTTGATTTAAAAAATTGTAGGATATTATATGGTTTAATGCCATGAAAGAGTTTTTTCATGTTGGTTGATTTTGTTTAGTGGCATATCAACACCTCCATGGGTCATTCAATGGTGAAATTTAAATAATTTGAACAATTTTATGTCTTTAACTAAATATATTTTGAACACAATTGTATGCCTTCAACTACAGATAAAATGTGTTACTGGTCATGTTGCTTTAAAATGTATTGTTACTTTTTTTTTTTACATAAATATGTATTGCTGGTAAACCAAGAAGCCAAAAATATAGCCACCAAATTGTCCAAGTGTCTTTTGAATTTCAAGGTTCTAACTATGTTTATCATGTCCTCTTCGAATTTTAACATTTTCTTGCATATTGGTGGACACTTTTTTGTATTAAAGTTGAATGTCTCGGGTTTATCAGTTGTTTTTTTTTTTTTTTGGGTCATTGAGGGAGAAATATGACACTTGGACAATTTCCAGAAAAAAATCATAGACGACAGGAAAAAAATAATCAACTCCAACAAAGTATTCATTTTGGCTGACAAAACCACAAACATATATACCATAGAACCTACAGCCTACAATCAACTCTTAACCAACAAAATTACACAACTATACAAAAAGACAAACACGAACACAATAAACATTATAAACCAAGAAGCCAAAAATATAGCCACCAAACTGAGTTAATCATTAAACATTAATCAGTTTGTCTGACGATCGCTAAAGCGTGAAACCCAGGGTCACAAACTCACATCTATCCAACCAAATATGTTAGCTCTATCTCTGATATTGAGCGCTTTCTAATAAGTACCGCGCATATAATATATAAATAATTATACATATATATATTTATTTATATTTATATACACTTTTCACATATATATATATAATGTGTGTGTGTGTATATATATCATCTAAATCAACATTGCACTCAATAAATACTCTTTATAAAACTCAGTGTGCACATTACACATAAATCCTTGGAAGTTCTACTGGTCATTGTCTTCACCTGAAATAGCTTTCACTTGAGAATGTCAAGTCTCAGTGTTGAATAATTATTGCTGGGAACTGTGCTGAACAATTCAGATGGAGTTGGTCTGGGAATGCTTTGCTCTTTGAAATGCTGTTTTGGGATGCACTTGCCTCTGCTTGTCTAGCAACCTGGTTACTGTGACAGAATTAGTATCATTCTATACTCACTAGACATGTGCTGCAATTTTCCTTCACAGTCTGAATGTGGGAACTAAGTTATATGGACAAAGAAAGGATCTCATGAAAAGGTGGTCTTGCATATATACTGACCTATAAAGCACCTTAAGCTTCTTTTAGCATAAACTACACGTCTTGCCATTACAATAGCACAAGAGACATCTAATATCATAAAGAAAACAATGACAACTAGCTGTATCTTGATGTTTGTAATCTTTTCCAGTATCAAAAGGTATGCAGTTTCAACATTCTTACTAGAATAATATTGTTTTCCCTTAGATAATCAATTTTTCTAATCATGACAAAAACAAAAGAACTTAATGAAAATATCTTGTATAATTTTTACTTGTTTTCTTCTTTCAGAAGGGGAATTGGAAGCCACCTGGTTAACCACAATTGGATTAGGGCACTTTGTTTCCAGGATAGCCGGTTAGTTCCTTTTTTTTTCTTCCCCCTGTTAGGTATTTTTATACTTAACTTTATTTTACAGTACTCTTTCTGATTTCTTCTTTTTCTTTTATGTGTTGCGTCCCTTCATGTCATTCATGATCATGGCACTCCATAACCTCGTATCCTTTGTAAAATAGTGATGTTAGTCCTCTTACTATCCCTCTCAGTCTCTGTTCTGCCATCCATTTAAATGAGCTTATTAGTTAGGAGTACTCACTGTTTCCTTCTGCACTCTCTTGCTTACAATATGTCTTGTTCATGTCAAATTCTCCAAGCTCTATTTAGTCAAGTTAAAATGTGCATGATGAGTGTATCTGTCATACTAATCATTTAAAGGTTTTATAAATCTGCCTTTTGGGTTTTGCTATGTTTAAGATTTACTTTGACTAAATAGTTCAAACAAGCTATGTTCATTGTTTGAAAATAGATGGTTTATGAATTTAGTTTCATATTTCCATTTTTTTTTTTTTGTCTTTAAGTTAAATCAATAGAGGTATTTAAAAGACATTATTAGTGGTTTTATTTTTCTAATAAATAATTTTACACTTTTTTGGGTTTTTTTTTTTCCAAAAATGCTTTTTAACGGAAAACATTTTTTTTACTGTAACAATTTAATCCCAGTTTTAATATTTAATTTAAAAAAAAGATGAACGATTATCTTAGCATTTTAACTAGAAAATATTTTTTTAAAGGAGTTATTAGTTAAAATTGACAGTTAATTATTATAAAAAAATGTGCAAAATTCTAAAAGCTTTGGTTTGACTGCCTTTTTGTGATACTAAGTTTATTGTCTGAGAGGTCATTGTACAAAATATAACCCTAGACTTGATTTGGTCCAAGTAAATCATTGTATTCTTAGGATTTTTTGTTTTTTTTAATGAAATATTCAGAAACAATTTTTGTTTTATTTACCTCATTAAAAAATGACTGCATGAACATAATTTTATTCTTTCTTTAACTGTTCTTTTGGTAGGCAAGTTAAACTAACGATCCTATTCTAATAATGTGACTTGTACTGCATATATGGTAGTAGGTCAGAGTGTCAAAAGACAAAATGACGATCAGACAAAGTGTTGAATGGACAAAGAGTCAAACTGACTAAATGATGAATGGACATAATGTTGTAAAGACCATTTCAAAAGGATAAAATGTTGAATAAAGTAAAAATGAATGTCATCATGATTTTAAAAACTCTATTCAAATAATAAGTTATTCTAAACATTTTATTGCTTAGCTTTGGCATCATTTAATAAATAATAGCCTTAAAAGTGATTAAGCCTTCATAATCAACTAATATTGGTTCAATATAGGGTGGGAGTCATTTATTACATTCTATTTTTTACCAAACTGAATTGAGTGTTTTTTTGTATATATATTCATTAGGAACTATAAATAGGTGGCTTCCTCACAATTCAGTTTATTTACTAAATTTAATTATTCCTTCAAGTTTTAAACATCATAATTCAGATCTATATTTTGCCATGCCATTCATTATGTCTGTTTGATACTTAGTCCATTCGTCATTTTGTTTTTCAATACTTAATCCTTTGACATTGTCTGCACATAATATATATGCACTGTGTGTGTGGTGTATGATATCAGTGGAATATAAATGACTATAATTTATTTTAGTACTCTCCTTAATGTTGATTTATATGGCCTGTACATTTTTAAGATATGCAGTCTTAAGGTGTATAAATCTTCATTGTATTTCAAAGTTAATTTTTTTGCTTTCTACATGAATGATTTACTGAAACTTTTTTCTTCATTTGCTAGAAGGTGGTGAGCTGAATACTGATGAAGATATTGATGTGATGCTGTCCGCCCTTACAAAGCAGCAGCGAGCTACTGTCCAACGTAGAATGGATACTCTTACAGCTACATGGGGACGAAGAAAGCAAGCTTCCAAAACAGATGTCAGAGATATATTTCCTGTCAATGATGTAAGTCTGTTATAACTTCATGGGTATCAGGGCAAGTAAAATAAAGAAAAAAAAAATTTTCAATTTCATACTTCATGCTTTACTGTTCCCTATATATCTTTTTATAACAGATCTTTTTAACAGTTCTTCAAATTTTATACAGCTGTATATGGTGGATGTAAGAAAAAAATTGAACTTTTAAGCTTACTTCTAAAACAATACTGAGATTTAATATAAAAGCAAATCTTTTAGGTGCTTTTGCACACTGACAGTTTTGAATAAAAATATGTACTACAATTTTATTTTATTTAAAAAAAAAAAAAAAACTTTATAATGCGCATAGTAACTTTTGTATAATTTTAATATTTCAAAAGATTCTGTCAAAAATATTCTTTAAATATTTCTCAAGATAATAAGATTTAATTTTTGAGGATTTTATAATTAATTTTGCCTGAATAATTTTGCAAGATCAAAATGATGGATGAGTCCTGAAATTTTTAAAATGACAATCTATTCTACTATTTAGAATGCCTATTAACTTCTATTAATACCATACTTTTCTTCAAACACTTAATCAGAAAATCTGTTTCTCATTTTTATGAAGGAAGTTTTTTTACAAAGGAAGCACCTTCCAAAGCAGTAGGTTATATCATGCATTAATGCACTGTAGAAAGAAAAAGGGAATCCTGAAGATCCTCACACACAAAGTTATCTCAATTGGATCCATTATGGTGAAAGTCATCATGAATATTTTACTAACTAGGCAGTCAACTTCTAATGACCAATTTTGGCTTTTATTCTTGTTAAGGAGTGCAAGGATGGCATATATGCCATTAAATAATTCCAGGAAATTGCATACATATCAGATAGAATATTGTATATCTGCTATGTTGATTTCACAGCAGTATATGACCACATCAATAGAGACTTCCATTTCTGATTTATCAGAAACTGTCTTTCAAGTTCTGACTCCACTGAATATCTAGATCTGATAGAGGGATTACATGAGTTTTACAATGTCGTATATGGTGAAAACCCAAAAACTGAATAATTTCAAATCTCACCAGGATTATGACAAGGGAGAAATGATAACTCCAATCTATTTAATTTCTTAATATTGACCTATGAACCCTTAATGAACTTGAGTCATATTCTTAAATAGCCTTATCAGATCTTGACTCTCATATGGGTGTCATTACATGACATCCAACTCTTCTAGAATTAATGTCTAAACTATCAACTATATATAAAAATTTTCTTAGATCCATGATTAAAAATATCTTCAAGCAAACAAACCCTCTAGGCTTTAAAGAAGACTGTCTTTTATCAAATCTTATAGACTGACATTACAGAATCACAAAGTATTTCACTAAATATCATTGACCACATCACTTGAAAACTTCCAACAGCAGCAACAACTAAAATGGATAGCACATGTAACTTGAAGAGAAAATGAGATGTTGACTTTCTTATACTACCTTAAACAAAAGATTAAGAAGGAAAGCTCCTATCCCATGCTAGAAAGAGTGATAAAAGTGGACTTGAAAAACATTATTTTCCTCTTTTAAGAGAAAATAAATTTCAACCAAAAATAACACTAACTTTTCAGTTAATTAATTTTTCTTTGTAAGAAATTGGCTAACCTCAACATCACCATTTAACGAAACTCTTAAGTACCTTATTTTAAATAGATTACGTAAATTGTAAAGAAAAAACTTATTTCCTTAAATGTCTTTTCAACTTAATTTTAAAATTGTAAGCAACTTCTAACTTTTAAACAATAACTGACTGATAAAATTGACTAAAATTATTTGAATTTGCTATTATGAGAATTACTTGTTTGTACTTTTGCAGATTGCTCATGCTAATCAAAACCACATTTTAAGACCTCATAGTCCTTTGTATGGACATGGTAGTAATGTTCATGGATTCAGAGGCAGTACATCAACCATTTCTGATCCCAATGACTATCCTTCTTCTCGTCGATCAGATAACAAATACAGACACTTTTACAAGAAAGGACTTTATGCCATGGATGGAGATCCAAATGCTTTCGAAAGTTCAAATGGTTGTGGTAAGTATTTGAGAAATGTCTAAATCAAAATGTTTAAATGTTTTTGGAACTACTGTTATTAATGTTTTTAATTCTTTCTATTTTAAACTAAATGTAATTTAACTACACTTTTCCTCTTGCAAAACAACCTAAATTGGATGTCTTAAGTTTCTTGTGGTTACAAAAAGTAGAAACATTCATATTTATTTGAACTCTTTAGATAGAAAACAACTTGTTCTATGTGGGTGTAAACTTAAATACAATGATGTGGGTTTTATAATAAGTTTTGGTTGCAAAAAGAAAGGAATAACGAGAATTAGGTTTTTAAACAATATGTATTTGTTTAATATACAAGTTATCTTAGAGTGTTATTGAAAAATTGCTGAAATATCGATTTCGATTGCTGATCATCAGGATGGCAATTAAGTGTAAGGGTAGCACCAAAAGTTGACCAATTTCTTGGGTTGGTTTGACCGAGATGACAGGATATAGTCATTGGTTGGGTCAGATGCACATGTTGACCAATTGAGGTCACAGTGGTGGGTCAATTTGTGGTAGGGTGTGTTGGTTGCCAAGGTAATGGGGGATTGGTGTAGCTGATAGGCCTGTGTTTCTACAAAACAGGGTCGCCTGCAAAGGAATGTCAATGTTGACACCACTCAGCTACACCTATTGTTATGAATTACAATAATCTGGCATTGAGAGACTGGTGGTAATGAAGCTGGATAGTCAGCTGCTGTAGTGAGTTGGGTTTGTTGAGGTGATAGCATTGGTGATTAGGAAGGCTAGTAGCTGGGTGATGTTGATATTGAGATGTTATCAATTACGACAGTTGCCTCAGGAGCTGGTGTAGAAACTGGTCTCTGTTGGTTTCCATATGTGAAGATTCAGGTGATTAGTCAAGCTTGAGAGTGGTTATGGTTGAAGTGAGGAGTGGTCATGTCGGTGATGGTGGCCTGATGGCCAACAACTGCTGATGGTCATTATGGGAGAGGCATTTACTTTTCAGCAGGAACATTCAGGTTGGTGGGCAGTGTCACTTTCATTGTGGGCTCTTGCTTTAGTAACCAGACATGATGCTTGAAGCCTATGTGCAGAAAACAACATTTTATTTTGTTCCATTCCTTCATGGTGTTCATATCCGGTTGGCATGCAGAATGAATCAAAAAGAGATCTAATTGCAACAGAGTATAGCATGGGTGTAAACTTTGATACAATGCATCACATTAAGAGGTTGTGTATCACAATCATAAGTGTTACAGAACATAGAAAGATGGATGTAATAACCAGTATTTGCAAGAATGATGAAATTTTCACAAAAATTTCATTGAATATGATGATTATTTGAATTGGGTATAAATTAATCATATATTTTAATTTTTATTTATATCAATTTATGAAGTTCTATTATAATCAGCAATATTTGACTAATCAAAGGTTATGGAGCATATAAGACTTCTAACGTTTGTTTTGGTGATATCATACCTGTGATCGGATCTTCTTGCAACTGCAAAGCCATATATATATATATATATATATATATATATATATATATATATATAATAAAAAGGCTTAAACACTAATATTTCATGGTCATAATTTATTCCATTGTATATATATATATATATATATATATATATATATATATATATATATATCAGTGTTGACTTGGTGATCATATTTGTCAGGCTTAGCCTGAGTGAATCAATATACAAGTATAGCTATTTTAAAGCAACAAAAAATCTTTTATAGTATGTTGTTTTCATTCTTGAATTTAGCTGGATCAAAATAGTTTTAACTCTGTGCCTCAAAATATTGACCGAAATAAATTTTGTTGATATTGTTCATAATAAAGAAGAAAGAAAGAAAAAACAAAAAGGAAATTAAGTAAAAAAAGAATAAAATAAAATTAACATGGCTAGTCAGGCTATGTAGATCTGAGTTGGAGATATTTAATAGGTAATGTATTCTTTGCTTTAATTTATAAAGAATTTTTTTTTAATTTCTAATGACTTGTATCCCTGTTTTTCAAGAACACATTTTTATTTCAACTTAATCTTTTCAAATGTTCATTTTTAAATTCATTCCATACAATATAAGGCTTTTTAGTGTAATGTATCAATTGAAAAAGGGCAAATTAAATTTAGCCCAACAAAGTTGGCAAAAATCAAAGAAAGCCTTAACTCATCAACTGGAGGGTTGGGATGAGGAGTATAACTGGGGTAGTGCTGATGAGATATGATATCAGTCAGCATTACTGATCAAAAATGTAAAATTTACAGACAGAGATACATAAACACACTGTCACATATACATATATATAAAATTATATATTTATATATTTTAGTTAGAGTAATGGAATCATTTTAACATCTAAGTTATGCCAATAGTATATTTTGTTAAAGATTGTAATGGGCTTAACAAACATTGATGACCTAGAGTCGCCACTTATATATGTATGTATGTTTGTATCTATATAGGAAAACAATATTTTGTATTAGAACAATTTTATAAAAATCTATGACAAAGTGGGGAAAAAAATTGCATGAGGTGTTTCATCATTTAGGACTTCATCAGACTAAAGTGATGTTTACGTTAATGTAATTATTAATGTTGAATGCTTATTTTCTTTAATAGACAATTCTGTGACTGCATTTAAAGAATTCTTGGATAAAAATTACAACTAATGAAAAAATTTATTAAACAAAGCATAATTATTTTTTAACAATCTCTTTAACCAAATTTTCTATTTTTAATGTCTTTGATTTAAAGAATATTCAGAATATTCTCTTGTACAATTCCCAGGATATATTTTGTTAATAAAATGAATCAATTAAAGTTAGCTGTCTTCTTCATTAGATATGAAAATATTATTAGTTTCTATTGTTTTCTTTATTAAGACTATTGAAATAATGACTTTAAATGAAATTTATTAATTTTTAATCGTATTTTTAATAAATCATATTCTTAAAATAATGCCCAAGTGAAACAGCATCAATTTATTTTTCAAAGTATTATTCATTATACAGATTTTTACTGAAACCAAATAGTTTCCAGCATAAAATGTTGTGAGAAAATTAACAAATAAAAACAAAATTAACTTAATAAAAACAAAGTTTTATTGTTAAAATCTTTGTTATTATTAAAAGAAAGATCAGAGAATTTTTGATGCAAAAATTTTTTTTTTTTTTAATTCTCTTCAGAACCTTTCAAATTTTGATTAAAAATCTTGTTTCTCCAGTGTCAATGTTGTACCATGAATTAGTATTGGAAATTTTAGCATCTTTTTGTAGGGCAAAACATTGATTTGGAAATTCTTGCAAAAATCAGATAATTGTTGGATTTTAATTAAACTTTCAGGACTTATTCACAAATGAATGAAATTATTTTTTAAATGTTTCTTTTTTAAAAAATATTTATAAAAATTTTTTTTTACATCTATTAACCTCCAATTATTTAATTTTATGAAATTTCAAGAAATTATTTATTGTATCAATTAATGTTTATATGAGTTAAAAAAAAAGTCCTTGGAGGATTTAAATTTTTTTTTTTTTTTTTTTTTTTTTTTTGTTAAACAGGACACCCAGTTACAGAAAATCTGCTCTGAATTGTAAAATAAAAACACAATAAGACTAAAATTTTATTTAATTAGAAAAGCTTTTAATTGTTTTTGAAAATAATATATATTATGGACACTATTGTCTTAAAAAATTTTTTTTTTTTTTGAATAATGAATTTTTACAAGAATTGTTTTTTTTTTTTTAATTTTTTAATTTAATAATTTATAAAATTTTAAATTTTTTTAAAATTTTGTATTAATTTTTAAAAGTCAAGTGATATTGTTATTAAATAAAAAACTATATTTACTAATTATAAATGGAAAAAAGCTTACTACAATTTAATCACCCCCCAATATTTTAAAAAAAATTTTGAATTTTTTTTTTATGTGTGTATAAACATGCTGATTTTTTGTAAATATGGATGTCCAAACATGACATTATATCAAAAATAAGAGTGGTAACTATAGTAAATTTAAAATTTATTGGTAATTTTCTAACATTTCCTCAACAAGCATCTTCTTTGTATATATAAAATTTATAAAAAATAAAATTTTAAATATTCAATAAAATAAGATCACTGGGTAGTTTAAAAAAATTATATAAAAAAGGCATTCATGCTATATTTTCAAATGGTAATTAATTGTTATGTCCCCCTTAGAAAAAATTTCCAAACATAAGTTTATCGAGAAAGTTGTCAACATCTCATAAAAACTCATCTCCATGTTGAAAAATGCTTTTATGTGTTATTTTGAACTAAAAGTAAGTAATATTTGTTTCAAATCAGATTAAGTAAACTTTAAATTATCTAATCTTCCTAAAATAGTTTCAGAAAATATATTTTATTTCTGAAAACTTTTTTAATAAAGCAAATTATGTTGTGTTGACAGATTTGTCAATATGGAAATTTTTTTTTTTTTAAAAATTGATAAAAAAAATAAAACTCATTCCAATCAATTTAAATTCAGTTTGAAATAATGCAAAGTATTTTGCTTATTGGAAATATTAAATTTAATCTATTAGCTTGAAATTAAAACTAAAATAAAAGCCTCAAGAAAGATTTTTCATTTTTAATAATTTTAAATTTTAATTTTTTTTGGAGGTACCTACTTATAAATTTTTTAAAGTGTTTTAATTTTTCAGGCTACCTTTTATGATTTCTCTCAAATGTTGAATTAGATTATAAACCAACATTTTTCTTTTATGAGACAAAGAAATCCATTGTTCTGCATTGTAAAATTTCAATCAACTTATATTGTCTTTTTCTTCTGTTTTTAATGACTTCATCTTTTCAATGGGCTCCACTTAAGGAATTGCTCAAGTTGTTTGGAGTATCTTAAACATTTGTAAATAATATATCCTCTTAAGTTGTTTGTTTTTTGTATTTAGTGTTCTTTTTTTCCATCAGTTTTCTTTGCATTCTCACTTAACACTTTTTATTTATGAAAATTACTAACAGACAATGATAAAGCCCTGATCTGATGAAATAATATTTAGATTTTCCCCCTTTTTCTCAGTGCTTAAATATTTTAATTTTTTTCTTATTAGATTGATTAGATTATGAACACATCTTTCAGTAAGTTATTGCCCTAATTTTTTTTTTAAGTAACTTGTCTGAATGAAGTGTTTGTTGCAGAAAGAAAGGGGGTTTTGCAGTTCAGTTGTCATGGAATTAAGATTAGTAAATCACATGTAGTAAAACTAAAGAATACTTTGAACATTCTTTATGAAAGAAATCTTGAAAGTCAAATCTTTGTATTGCTGCACTCTAAAAAATAATGCCTAAATTTTCAATTCCACTGTTTTTGAATAATTACAGAATCCTAAACTGAAGATACTTTAATCACTTGGGAGTGACTGATGAGATTATCTCAAGAGAAACTTATTTTTTTCTGCCCTAACTGATGAAATCTATAAAAAAAACATTTGTCTTGTTTTTTTTATTTGTTTTTTTTTTTTACACTTTTGGCAATGGATCGGATAGTTATTCATAAATGGTAAATGACAGAAACAATGATTGTTCTGGAGCACCAGATAAAAGACTTTACTGATATACCACAAAAAAAAATAAAATGTCCTTATTCGATGTACCATATTTTTTTTTGGCACCTATTTTTTCCCTTAAAAAAACAACCCCAAAATATTTCTTGAGTCTTATATGCAAAATTGATGTTGGTAAATTAATGTTTACCCAGATGTTGTAATACTTGTACTTAGTCAAATTGTATAATATTGTAATAAATATAAATGGTAGGTGTAAGGTTTTATATACCATCAGTTAAGCTTGCTGTAACCATTTATGCTACTCTAATCTTAGTATATTTATATAAATTAATTCTTAAACCGTTGATAATGTATTCTTATGATCTGTTCTAAAGATTTTTTTCTTAAGCTTTACATTTTGATTTGTTACGTTCGTGGATTATTTAAACAAAAAATCTTGATAAAACATATCAAGATATATGAAACTTCCAACCATTTGGTATGTTACAGTGGGGGTATATAACTCAATTTTAGCTTACCTCTTGTCCATTAATAGCATAAGAAGCCACAATCTGTTTGCCAATGTCTTAGTTTATGTTTACCTACACCATGTCAAGTGTTTTTCTTCAACAGCCAGATGTTACTCTGAAATCAATACAAGATTCGTTTCTGACATTTTTTCCCCCCCATTTTCCCAAAACAAATGAATTACAAATAGTCATTTATAAAACTCTGATGTTTATCTTGGCTATATGACCACTCCCTAAGGCTATACTTGTAAGCTCCTAGAACTTTTGTCTCCATGTTTAAGAGACTGATAATTATGTTTGGAAGTAATCAATCTCATTCAAGAATTTCCTGGTTCATTGTTTTCAATAGATTTAATTAAATGGTAATAGTAAAATTAACTGTTTCCATACAGGAAACATTTGGTATTCTTTGACTGAACAGTTAACATTACTGTCAGTTGAGATTTATAAAATCTTTTTCTTAAAACAGTTTTTTTAGGCAATTAGATTTTCCAAGTTCACTGTTATAAATCTTTCTATTATTGATGAGTTTCTTTCCAAACTTTTTGTTTAAGGCAATATGGAAAGCAAACATTTTGATTATAAATTAGCTGATAATATAATATCTGACTGTTGTGGTTGTCTGTATATATATATTGTAGTTAGAATTATGTATACATTGCATAGTAGTGGTTATCAGCAAAGAATGTTTGATTGGCATGCAGGGTTCAAATTTCAGCTAAGGCTGTTGCGTTTGCTTTTGCACAAATACCTTTGGAAAGGTATAAATCCATCCCTTCTCCCCTTGGATATGGGTTAATAGTAAGTGTGACTGGTTTCTCAACCCTAGCATGATAGCCAATGTAAGAAAAGAAAAATCTGAAGTGAAAACAAGGCAGAAAAATGATGAACTCTCTCATGCTCACTGCTCTGGACATATCCATTGTTGCTACGGTTGCAACAACCCTAATAGGTTAGAGGGCAAGTGTCATGACATGATAGTAAGAATATGCAATCAGAAATTATGTAAATTGAGGGAAAATGTTTTTGACTTCAATTTGTTAGATTTTTTTTTATATGCTGGCCTAATTAAATTTTGTTTTAAAAAAATAGTGACTTAATCTTGAAAAAAATTAAAATTGGCACAGAGATTTTCTTGGATCACAGAAAAAAATGTTCAGTTTATATAAATTTACTACTTGTAAGACAAGTAGAATGGAATTTGAAAGATTTGTATCTAATTTCTGAAACTATTGTCATATTGATAGGATGAGATTGTTTCCAAATATTAACATCAAAATGTTCAATTTAAAATATAATAACCAGTATTCAAAGTTTTACTAATAATATATTTTTGATTTGTTATATATTTTTTAAAAGTTAAATATGAAAACCTTATAGTCAATACAAATCATAAAAGAAAGAAAAGTTATAAATAGAAATGAAGACATCAATCCATAGGAATAAAACCACTAAACTTCATTGACATTATGAACATTGCTATACCATAACTAATTCTTTTCTCTTATTCATGAAAAGTATGTCTCTCTATGAAGAATCACTGATTTTTACATTACATGTTTTTATATATTAACTGAGTTTGTCTTGAATATCCCTTAAATACTGAGATTAATCCTGACTCAATCTAAAATTATGGTCTTATGAGATTTGTTTTATTTTATACAGGTATTGAGATGCTTAGCATAAATCCAATGCACACCTGGAACAAGTGGGCTGGCAACAATATAATAGGAAAGGTGACTACCCTTCCTAACATCTCTGAACAGGAGTCTGAGATGTGGTTTATTGAAGACAGAAGTGAGGTCAGTATCTCTTGGCATTAACAAGTTACAGCAAACAGATTTGTGTCAATCTAAAGCAGATTTAATTTTGTTGTCTTTTGTCTCAGTGGTTGCTTTTCACTACACTGGCTGCAAAAAGAATTATAACAATACATAGAAATATTAGTTCATTTCTAAAAATTGCATTTCATTTACTTTTAGAACTTTTTACAAATTCAGTTGCTATGTAATATTTGTTTTTAGTATAATTTATAACCAAGAGCCAATGAAAACACAGATATTTTTTAACTGCTTGAGATTATGTATGTAATGTTAAGAACTTATAATGAATATATGATTTCATAATTTATACAATGCTGTAAATTTTGTAAGAGAATTGTCTTTAATTCTTACTGTGGCCAACTAATGACTTACCTGACATTGACACAATTGACTTAAATGTTGTTGGAATAATAAACTCAATGCAATAGTCTTATGAAAATTTAGTTTCTTTGTATAATTTTATTTGAAATGAACTATTTGCTTTAAAGCTCAGCAGTTATTTTTTCTTGTAATGATTCATCAAAGCATGTGTTTTTGTATTTTATTTTCCAGTTATAAAATTTAATAATAATTTTAAATAATTTTATTTTTTTAAAGCTTAATGTATTTGCTTGATTTTTTACAGAATGGATCTTCTAACAATGAACTTCCTGTAAGTTATGATTTTGTTCATTTACTCTGTAATTCCTGTTTTATTTTAGCTTCTTGTTAGCACATCATAACAAACATATTTATTTTTTCTTTACTTTTTCTTTATCTGCAACTTATAAAATATCATTTTGTTTTTATTTACTTTATACAACATTTAATTAATTTAAAATATCTTCACTGTTGTCATACAATGTATTTAATACAAATTACAAGGGTCTCTAATAAAATAGTCTATCAACAAAGTGATTTGAATAGTTTTCTAAATATACTGGTCCCAACAAAAGAAAAAACGTAATCCTTTTTTTTTTATCTGTCTATATTTCTGAGATGAGGTATTATGTACACTATTTACATTACTTGGACTATCATCCTCATCTGTGTTGACATATTTATCACAATGTTTCGGCCGTTGTATGCTCCGGCCTTCTTCAGGTGGTTGGAATTTTTTTGTTCATTGTCTGATCTACTATGAACAAAAGGAACAATGGTGCAACAAATTAATTTTTCAATCTTGGCTTTGTCATACCCCTTGATCAAAAATTCAGAATCATAACTATATAATGCTTTACTGAAACAAAAATATACTTTATCATATATACAACATACATAGTTGCATTTTGATAAGATATTTTTGAACAACTATTGTTTTTATATTTCATATTTGTGTTATTTGTAATTAAATACTTATATTTTGATATTTATAATAACCAACTCTACTCTAATAAATTTGAATGTAAGCAAACTTGAACTATTACTTCCAATAGATTATACCATTTGCAAGATGGAAAAAACTTTTTTCTTTTCAAAAATTATTTATTTAATGTATAATTCTTAATTCACTGAACATGTAATGAAAATGAAACAATGGTAAAGTTTCATGAATAATTTATTTCTAGGCTGTATGTATGACCTTTGTTCTTAAAATTTGGTATATGGTGAATATTGCTGCCACATATGGTCTGGTGTGGCTATAACGAGATTCTTGATGAAATCCAAAGAAGAATCTGCAATGTTATTGGTCTTGACCTGGCATTTTGGTTTCAGTCACTTTCCCAAAACCTTGGCATTGCTTTCCTGTGCCTTTTCTATAAATATTTTCATAATTGTTCTAATGAGCTTCCCTCTTTTGGTACCTTGACTGTATGAATTTAAGCATACTACTAGATTGGCGGTAATGTCTCATTATCTTACAAATGAAATGGCTAGATGTAACCTTAAGTTCTAGGCTAACAGTTTCTTCCCTCACACTTCTCACTTGTTGAACTCTCTTATGGCATCTTGCTTTCCAGTCAACTTTAATCTTCAAAAGTTCAAATCCAATCTCAATTGTTATCTTCTATATTCTTAATCCCTGTTCTTTTATTGTTCTTGTTCCTTAATAATGTTTTCTTTTTCTCATATTCTCTAACACTCAATAACTCCTTGTGTCTTAGTAGCTTTATTGCCTTCCTTGGAGTGAAATTATTTAAAAATAAACAAAAAGAATGGGTAGATGAATTTATTGGCTGGATTAAATGACACTTCATCATACTAAACCATTCCTGAAAATTATAAGAATTCCTATAAAATTTGCATTGAGTAAATGGTTCTAACATTTTAAAATTACTAAGTTTGAGAAGCAAATATGAGATTTATCTCCTATATTTGCTCAGGTTTGAGAAATATTTTCAACAAGTAAATATTTTTATCACAAATATTAGACTATAAATGTTTAGCTTATAATCTGTGACATTTTTCTAACTTGATAAGTATATAGCTGGAAACACTAATACTGCAAAAAAGTAAAATTAAAGCCTATTGTTCTGCCTTGTAAGTAATATGGGAGAGTTCTTTAAGTCGCAGTTTTGCAGACATCTAATATTTCACTGAGGTAGGCTAAATTACTTCTAAATTTTTATAGAAACCTATAGAAAAAAAGAAGTCACAAATCTGAGTAGCAGTGAATCCAAGGTTTAGCAAAACAGTCATAAATCCAATGTTTAGCAAATTGAACAGTTGTAAATCCAAGTGTTGCTCTACCAATTGTTAGCATTTTACGACCAACTTCCTGACAGTAAGAAATATCTGTCTTATATACCTGTAACCATAGCCACAGATCAGTTATGATTTGTTGATGACCAAGCATCACTCATGCAAATTAGAACAATGATGACAGTGATGCCATCTATTTTGAGAGCCTGCCTTGTCTAAACAGCCAATTATTCAACTCTTACCTACACTAGACACACTTTAGTTGAAGTCTTTTTTCATGTTAATCTGGTTCACTTCAACAGACCTTAATTTTTTCTTTTAAATTTATTATGTGCTGATATGAAATGGTAAATACTTTACTCTGTAATATATTTAGTCAAGTCTGATATGGATCTATGTAGCATTTAATAGCTTCCATTATGACAATGACCTAACCCAGCCAGTACTCTGATCATTTTTGTGACCTGTGTTATTATAAGTATAAGCTTAATTCTTGGGGCTGTCTCCTAGACAGCACCTCCCCTTTACATTAAAAGGGCATAGTTTAGTCTATTTCTGATTCCTGTGGCAATATGCTGATACAACTGGGCAATTTTTATACTTATCTACATGTTTGTATGTTCCCACCTTTATAAAAAGCCCATGTGTCACATTTCATTATAGTTCAGTGGGAAGGAATAGACAAATAGCTTTTTATATTATTATAAAAACTATCAACTTCTTATATTTTAATATATCAAGAATATTATTTTCTTTTTTCCAGAACTTTTGTTTAGAACATAGAGAAGAAGGCTATGCAAAGTTGAGTGATTTAAGCAAATCAGATATGTCCCGTTTAAGATGTTTGGCTGTTATTGAAGTGTCCATGTTATTTGACCACTACAACATTCCAGATACCTCAAGGAAAGGCAAAAAACCGTCTAGAGGTAAGTTTTTCATCACTTCTTCTAATAAGCTTCTTCTTTACTCCCACTATATATTTATTTTGTCCAGGAGTTTTAACTCTTTTAGAAAAGTATCAGTACCATCTTTTTATTATTATTTTGTTTTTGTTTTTTTGTCTTTCAGGCAAAGTTTGGAAAATTTCATTTTTGATCCACAACAATTTATATTTAGTATAAAATTTGATCTTGTTAATAATTAAATCTTGTGAACTACATCACATGAAAAGATATTAGGCCACGTTCATATTGGTGAGCCTTTCTGATTCCTTTATACATGCCATTTGTTTTTTTTTACAGTTTAAAAATTGCAAAACAAAATCCATTTTTTGTTATGTAGTTTTACAGGTTTTGCATTTTATTTCATATTTCCATAAAAAGAAAACTTTCTTTTAGTAGCTAGTTTTATTTCTCTTTTCATATGTTCTTATCACCTTACTTATATCTATTTTTAACTTTATAATATTCTCATATTTTAAATAAGAGAATTATCTCAAAATAGATGCTATGAATAATTATTTCCTGATTTTTTTTCTCTCAAACTGTTGTATTTTTTGTCTTTATAAATATCTTAATAATGTAACCTTTTAGGTTTCTAATTTTTAGTTGCATTAATTCAACACTTATCTTTATAAATATAACACTTCACTAATAATACTGCATTATTTTTATAAATTTATTGGTTATATTTCTCCACTTTTATATTAATTAATTACAAATAATAAACTTATATGATCCATAACAACCAGATGCCACAATTAATTACATTTACATGCATGTTCCAAGATGATAAACTTACATATTTATGGAAATGATGGGACAAAATACAAAGGCTGTTTTAAAGTGACAACTCATTTCACCAATGTGTGTTAGGTTCAGTGTCTTCAGATTAGTATGAAAAAGAAAATAGTGTGTAAGGAAAATGCATTAGGATTTTAGAGGATAAGAGGAGCAATAAAGTAAATTATCATATCTGACAGCCAGAGACAAGAAAGTGTATTTTATTATTATTATTTTTTTAGAGCTGTTGGTGTCTGTCGGATTTTAAATCAACCCACTCTGAAAAAAATCTGGATTTTTTTTTCTCTATTAACATGTATACTGCACTGTGCTATTATTGCTTTTGATCAGTGATATTAAGACCAGGATCATACATAATGTCAGTGTGATATACAAGTTAATAGAGAAAAAAATTCAACAGATACCAACGGCTCTAATATATAATTAAAAAAGAATAAAACATTTCCTGGTCTTCAGTCATTGGATCTGATGAGGTAATTTAATTTATTGTCCCTCTTATCCTCAAAAATCCCACCATATTTTCCTTACATACTGTTTTGTCTTTCATTCTGACCTGAAGAAGCCTAACCTAACACATATTGGCGAAACATGTTTTCACTTAAAACAGTTTTCCACCTTGTCCCATCATCTCCAATTTTGTTCTAGATACTCTATTCTACAACCCATTAACATGCATACATAGTTGTGCTTGTCTCGGCACCTATCCGAGTAATTTATTACAGATAATGAATTTTTTGATTCTCTAATATATGAGGCATATAGTCCTCTCTTACAACCTATCTACCTATTTCTGATCAGAAAAATAATTTGTTTTGTATGGAAGGAAGGAAGCTATGATGGAAGTTCATTCATAGCAGTTATCAAAAAAAAAAAGAATGAATTTTACTAGAAAAAAACAATCTGATCACTTTCATAAGAATTAGTCTTCTTGCAATGGATTATCTTCAATTTATGCTTAACATAAATTGAAGACAAACTAATTTTGTAGAACCTATAAGATAAAAAAATATATAGTGCCAAATGTATTTGTACACATTCTTTTATACTCAGACAGGAGGAGTGGTCAGAATGTGCAGCCCATCAGGCACTACATACAGTGAAAGCCTTTCTGATTGAGTGTTACAATCTCATGCTCATTAGACATCATTTTTTTTTTGGAACAAAACAAATATTATTATTTATTAAAAAATATCAATATTGATGAGCTGCTATTTTTACATAAAGGAAGTGGGTCTATATGCTAAAGTGTGATGATCTGATTCAGTATTCATTACTAGAAAATTGTTACTGCTAGATATGTACAAAATATAAATAAAAATAATTAGGGGAAATGTTCTTGATGGTAATTAACATGGAAGGGCTAATATTTAAACTATTGCTACATTGTGAACTTTGACCTGTAAAACATTTTGGTTCTGGAAATGGAGGAGAATAATAACAAAATAAAAAACAAAATGCATATAAAAAAAATGTCATACTAAATAACCCAACAAAAAAGTTAATATTTCTTAAAAGAAACCAACCAAATCAAATGAATTATATTTATTCTAATATGTAATATTTGCAATTTTTATTGTATTAGAGTTATCTCCCTTGCAATGGTGATGCTAAGTGGCATTGTCTTTGATATAACAATGGTAAATTTTTCCAAGATATTTCCAGAAGACAGACGGTGAAACGACCAAGTCTGTGAAAAGGTAGAGTATAATACTAATAATTAACTAGTTGGTCACATTTCAATGCCACAAAAAAAAAACTATAGTTCCATTATCCCTGAACAGGTACTAAAATTTTGTCTATTGCAATGAATGGTTGTTCTATCAGGGAGGCTCTGTGTCTGCTCACTCCAAAATGCAAGTGGAATTTGTACATATAAGACATTGATAAAAATGCTAGAAAAATGAACAACTTCCTTTACCGCTACATTTTCAAGAGCCACATCAGGCCAATAATGGATTACTCCTGTCATATATGGGCAGGAGCTGTCCAGTCTTGATAGAGTTCAAAAGTGTCTACACAGCCTTGTGGGTGATGAATTATATTCCACTCTACAAACCCTTTCCCACAGACAAAATGTCACAAGACTCTTGCTACTCTATTGCTTTTTCCATGGCAAATGTTCTGATGAGCTATATTCCTTGATTCCACTAGCCCTAATTTTTGCAGCTGTGACACGCCATCATGGACAACCTTCATTCTCTTCATATTCCATTGGTAAGATGTAAGTTCTATTCAAACAGCTTCTTCCCACAAACTGCTACTTTGTGGAACTGACTCCCAAGAGGATGCTTCATTGATCACTATAATCTTAACCTGTTCAAGTCTAGGGTTAATTGTTATCTTCCCCACATATCCTCATAAACTGTGCCTTTTACCTTTTAATCTGTAACCCTCTACCTTGAGTGGCTCTTGGGATTTGTACAGGGGTAACATTATTGTAAAAAAAAAAAAGAATATATTTAAAGCCTCATCTGTGAAAACCCAATAATAGTAAGGACTTAAGAAAATATTACATCATATTTTATGGCATGGGTAACAAAGTATTAATATGATTTTCTGAACATAAAATGGGGGATCACTTTTCTCATTGTTGAATAGTAAATACTCCAGTAGTAGTACTTAGTAATAATTGCAAACAATATATTTAACATTTCACATATGAAAACCTAATAAGAATATATTTCCTCAAAACATATTTGGTTGAATTTAATTTAGATGCAAATACTTTTTTTTTTTTGTAATCATTTCACCCCAGCCACTAAGATACAAAGAGTTACTTAGTGTTAGAGAATATGAGAAAAAAAACATTATTGAGAGAGAGAGAGAGAGAGAAAATAAAAGAACAAGAATTAAGACAGAAGATAATGATTGATAATAAAGTTAATACAATATATTTTCCAAATATTATTAGTTTTGTTTTGACATTGGAATATATAATGTTTGATTTCATTGGGAAGTTAAATGTTCACATTTCTGACTGTTTTTCTTTATCTGGTTAGGAACAGCCTAGTTATAAAGAGAATTTCATAATTATATCATTAGAAACATATTTCACAAAATATATTAAATAATGGAACTATAGTTATATAGATTGGTTTCCATTTTTTTTGTGTATTAGCAATATTTAGCAACCAGTGTGATGGTGAGGCCTCCTATTTCAGTTTTACATGGCTAGAACATAAACTAGTTTTAAATATGAGAAAATCTGAGAGGTTAATTTCTTTTTACAAAGTTGTTATTGTTATTTGGAAGTCATGCAAGATGGGATAGCATCTAATTAATTCTGAATCCTTTGTGTGTAAAACCAGGAATATATACTGAATGTATAATCAACTGTGGTTTCCAAGCAGTAGAACCACTAATAACAAAGAATGTAAAGAAAAAATAATCTATATTGACTTGTATAAAAGCATGATAAATAAAAATGATTTCTAAATCTCATTCAGAGGCACACCCAGCATTTAATTGTTACCTTCAGATACCATGTTAAATAATAACTTAGAATTTAGTACTTATTAGACAAAAAGTTAGTTTAGAAATACTGCTTTAAACATTTTTAGCATTTAAACATTCGGAACAATAAAATTGTTTTTGTTTTTAGTTTTCAATTCAGTTTTCATTTGATTTTGATCTTGGATTAAAATTTTTAAAATAATTAAATTTATCTACAAATGCTTTATGCATTTAGATGAAGACTAAATTTTAACAATCTTTGTAACTGAACTATTTCATTAATGTTGACTTATCTTTAAATTAAAATACTTTGATTAAAATATATTAATTACTTTTATTAGGCTATTTACTTTCAGCTACTGTATTCTCCATCCTTCCTTGATTGTATATCACATCTGGTAATTTTCAAGAGGCCTTGAAAAAATATTTGATTTTTTTGTTAATTATCAAAAGTATAGCATGTCACTCAGGTCTAAATTGTTCTAATTGGAATAGTATTGAAGTTTGTTTGTTGTTGGGTGTGTGTGTGTGTGTGTGTGTGTGTGTGTGCGTGCGCGTTAGAGAGAATTAGATAAAGGATTCTGCTCAAAGGCCTTTAAAAAATTACCAAATTACCATACAGCCAAAAAAAGCAAGAATACATACTGGCCAAAATGTAGACATTGAAAGTGTGCAAATACTTGTCATGGAATAATGACATTACTTAATCACAGAACTTCAATGTTATTTTA